CTATGAGGTGGATTGATTCAGTGATTGGGGTAATCAGGATGGGTATGTCAGAGACGGTGCGATTGGCATAAGACAGAACAAAGTTTAGGGCTGTTGTACATAGGGTCGCTATGAGTCGCAAGGGACTTGACGGCACATAACAACAACAATGGTACTTGGTAATGCATGTCTATAGCAAAGTTATATAAATTCACTAAACTCAATTTCTCATTTGTAAAATAGGTTGTTATGAGGGGTAAAGAAGTATGCCCAGCACTTTAAAAAGTGCTCTAATTCCTCCACTGGAGACACAGTGTTGAGGCATTCAAAATATCCAGCGTGTGACCTACCATTGAAGGCTGTTTTACAACCTGGCCTCTAACAAAACTTGGCTGTCCTGACCCCTGGTAATAGAACTGTTGGCCTTTATGCCAAGAGGGTTGGGAAAGCCCCGAAATCTGCATGTGGTGTGTGCCTAGTCCAAATTTGAAGGATTCCTGCTGTGAGACTTAAAGTTGTCATGAGTTTGTCAAAACCAAAACCAAAGCATCAGCAGATCTTACAGGTTCCACAGGTGCAAAGTGTGTCCATGACAGGATCAAGCATGCTTTCCTTGCTGAGTAGCAGAAAATAATCGTGAAAGTATAGAAGGCACCAGCAAAAAGTCAGAAAGCTAAATTTCTTAAATAGTGATTCTTAAAATAATAAATTTTTTAAAAAGCTGCTTAATCACATTAAGACATCAATAAGTTGCTATTATTCTTTCTTTATTGTCTAGTCAATGTCATTAATCTAGGAGAATGATGAGTTTCATCAACTTCAAATTGGAGGAGAATGAGAAGATTAAAAATAAAAAGAAACATGGGAGCAAAGACATGAAAAGACAAAGTAAACTTTTAAAAAAACGTGGTGCTCCTTTTGGATTGGGAAAAGAATGACTTATGACCAGCGTTTTCGTTTTCAATGAATAAGTATATGGCATATAGTTTGTGACCACTTGTCCCCTGCAGCCCCAATAAATTAGTCCAGAGGCTCTTGCTGCAGAAGGTCAGGGACTGCAGCCTTCAATATGGATTGAAGCTCAACATCAAGAAAACAAAGATTCTCACCACTGGGCCAATTGGCAGCATCATGATGGATGATGAAGAGATTGAGATTGTTGACAGCTTCAGTGTGCTTGGCTCTACAGTCAACATTCTTGGTACCAGCAGCCAGGAAACTAAAAGACAATTGCAAAAAAAAAAAAAAAAAGACAATTGCATTGGGAAAATCTACTGTCAGAAACTTCTCCAAAGTACTGAAGAGCAATGATGTCAGTCTGGAGACTAAGGTGAGCTTGATCCAGACCATGGTCTTTACACTTACTTTCTATGCATCAGAGAGCTGGACAATGACTAGGGAGGATAGAAGGAGAGTTGATACTTTTGAGCTTTGGTGCTGGAGAAGAGTATTGAATATATCATGAGCTGCTCAGAGAGCAAACAAGTTTGTCCTGGAGAGGGTGAAGCCAGGCTGCTCCTTGGCAGCAAGGATTCTGAAGCTTCATCTGACATACTTTAGACATGTTGCAAGGCAGGATCAGTCCTTGGAGAGAGATGTCATGCTTGGGAGGGTGGAGGCACAGAGCAGGAGAGGAGGACCTTCGATGAGATGGATTGATTCACTCACTGGGGTAATGGGGATAGGCGTGTCAGAGACGATAAGATTGGCAAGGGATAGAGCAGGGTTTAGGGCTGTTGTACATAGGGTTGCTATGAATCACAGGTGACTCGACGGCACACAGCAACAACAACATATTGTTACTTTTTAATGTTGTTGTTATGTAAGGTCGAGTCGGAAATGACTCATAACTGACCCTCCAGCAAGTTTCATAACATGGGAGAGATTGCTCATCTTTCTCCCATCGAGTAGCTGATGGATTTGAACTTCCTTATTGCTATGCCTGCACATCGTATAGTATTGTATGTGTTGCTATGTGCCATTGAGTCACTGGCGACTCATAGCGACCCTATGTATAAGAGCCCTAAATGCCGTTCTATCCTGTGCCAACCTAGCCATCTCAAATGCACTGATTCCCACCATGCCACTTACAGAATTGATTCATCTCATGCAAGGTCTTTCTCTCCTTTGCAGCCCCTCCACTTTGCCAAACATGATGTCCCTCTCCAAGGACCCCAGTCCCTCCTTGTAACATACCCAAAGTATGTCAGCTTCAGAATCCTTGACTCCAGGGAGCATTCTGGCTTCACCTTCTCCAGGACAAACATGTTTGTTCTCCTAGCAGTCCATGGTATATTCAACACTCTTCTCCAGTACCACAGCTCAAAGGCATCAATTCTCTATCATCCCTATTCACTGTCCAACTCTCTGATGCATACCACGTAATTCCGAAGGCTATAGCCTGGATCAGGCACACCTTAGTCTCCAGTTTGACGTCGTTGCTCTTCAGTACTCTTGAGAGGTCCCTCACAGCTGACTTTTCCAATGCAATTCCTCTCTTGATTTCCTGGCTGCTGGTACCAAGAGTGTTGACTGTGGAGCTAAGTAAATTAAAACTGTTAACTATCTCAATCTCGTCACCATCCATACTGATACTGCCAATTGGACCATTGGTGAGAATCTTTGTTTTCTTGATGTTGAGCTTCAATCCATATTGAAGGCTGCAGTCCTTGACCTTCTGTAGCAAGTGCTTCAGGTCCTCCTCAGTTTCAGGAAGCAGGATTGTGTCATCTACATAATGCAGGTTGTTGGTGACTCTTCCACCAATCCTGATGCCACATTCCTCCTCTTACAGCCCGATCTGTTCTGCATACAGATTGAAAAGGTATGGAGAAAAGGTACATCCCTGACGGACCCCATTCTTGATCTTGAACCGCGTAGTGTCTCCTTGCTCTGTTCAGATGACTGCCTCTGGGTCCAAGTATAGGTTTTGCATTAGCACAATCAAATATTCTGGGATTCCCATTCTTCTCAGTCAGCCACAGCTTGTTGTGATTCACACAGTCAAAAGCCTTTGCATAATCAGTGAAGCACAGATAGACATTCTTCTGGTATTCTCTGCTTTCTGCCAAGATCCATCTTACATTAGCTATAATATCCCTAGTACCACGACTTCTTCTAAATCCAGCCTGCACATCTGGCGGTTCTCTGTTGACATATTGTATGTACCAGAGTAAATTACGCGGATGTACTATACTTTGTCCTCCCTTTACACATTCCACCTAATGACTTAAAGGTTCTCAAGTTTTTGTTGTTCTTGTGCTTCAGTGTTAAGTGCTGACAGCGGGATCGCAGAAACAGACTAGATTGAGTACTTTGTTTTAATTTTCTTTGCTCGCAGGGAACTACTCCAAGTAAGTGTATCGGAAGGCAAATCGGCTTACAGCGCAAGCAGGAAAATAGAGGCAGAACAGGTTCTCTGCTTGGGCACTTTCCCTTTCATTATGTATGTTGATTTTGTTCTTTACTTGGGAGATACAATAGTTCCCAGCACTGGAATCAGACGTGACCAAAAAGACACCAAGAACTGGCTAAGAAACTAAGGAAAGGGGGGGGGGGGGAAGAAGCCTCAACAAACCCAACCCTCAAACCCTTTCCCGCGGTGACGTTTGCTTCCGGGAAGCGGACCGGAAGCCGCTCCTCGGTTCTGCGTCAAACTCGGCTTCAGGGGCCGTCGTCAAAGTGTCGCCCCTTGTTTCTCCGACCGGCTACAGGTTTCTGCTCGTCTTGGGTCGGGGGTCGAGAGCTGCGGGCGTCAGTTTCCCTCAAAATGGCGGACGAGGAGCTTGATGGCGCGGAAAGGATGGAAGTCAGCACCGACTTAGCTCAGACCGCTCAGCAACTGGCATCTGTAAGTCTTTGCTAGCAAGTTATTTTTGTTCCCTTTACCCCGCTCCTTACACATTGCACTTAGTGGATGTGCGGCTTCACTCCTTATGGCGGCTCTGGGGAGCCGGGTCTTATGTGCTAATCGGAAAAGAAGCCACAGAATAAAAAGTTAATCATCACCCACATTCCTGCAGACCAAGTCTGCGGAATAGAATGACTTTGCCATGTATTTGTCGTGACTAGCCTAAGCGTGTCTCTGTCCTGAGTAGAAAGAACGGTTATGCTGTTTGATGGTTTGTAGGGGCCGAGGCGGGGTTGGAGGAAGAGCCATTTTTCCGGGATAAGCAGAGCCAGCTCCTCTTGACAGAAATCTAGAATGCAGTACCTGGGGTTGGGTTGCAAATCTGACTAGATTTGCGGCCTCACAGTGGCAGGGAATGCTGCCACTGTCAACTTGTGTCAAGACGTGGGGTGCTGGGACTGCAGTGCTTCGTTGTGAGAACCCCAGGCGCAGCCCTCGGTACTGAGACAGACCTGTCTGTCGCATTGATCTTTTTTAAAAGACGAAGAAGGGATTGATTCTCAGATATTTCAAGTCGGAACAATACCATGAATTGGTATTGGAATCCATACGTTTTCCTTGCACTTTGAAAGAGTAGGAAGGCCTGATAATGACCAAATCTGAGTTAGTGTTGTGAAACAGCTGGCCAAGGAGGATAAGAGGCATGGGGCAGTCAGTGGCAGAGAATGTTCTGGAGGAGGCCACTGGCATCTAGTGGAGAGAGACTTAGAAAATAGATATTGATTATCGCATGATGTCAAGGGATTGTGTTGATTGCTCCAGATAAAATGTGTAGTACATACACATATTTCTGAAGTTTCTTTGGTTTGTAATTTTAATAAAGGCATTCTTCAAATATTTTAATACTGCAAATATATTATCATTGTTTGATGAGGGGATGGAGTAGTCTATAGAAGTCAATCTCCTCCGGGACTGAAGAGACTAGCTAGGAGATGGAAACTAGCTAGGAAGATATTTGAAGTAAGGGTTCAGTCACAGCCTAGAACAATGTCTTACTTCCAACTGTCCTCTCTCAAAAAGCATTTGAATATAATTTAAAAATTTGTAAAGGATGAGGCATATATTTAAGATAATAAGGAATATGAGCAAATTGCAAAAGTTGGAAGTGTTAGAATTATATGATCTTAATGTTGGTTTGTGCTTTTTAAATTACAGAAAGTACTTTTTTTTTTTCAGAAGAGCTGTAGTTTGGTTCATAATTATTTGAAGCTTGCTGTATTAATTCTTTCCAGGTGATACAGTAAAATCTCATCAGTCTAGACTCTAGTTACTTGGAACTGGAGATAATGGTACAGGAATTGAACTAGAATTTATGTGGCAAATGGTTTCCTTCAAGAAATATTACTAAATTTCTTGGGTAAGACTTTGGGTTTTGCATAGTGGCGGTTCCAAAGAGAAGTGTAATGTAACTTTAGGGAACTCAAGAGTCTGGTGGCACAGATAAGACTTAGGCTCAAAGAATATTTACAAGATAGGATGATGTAAATGGGTGAGGACCTGTAACTTTCCAACCTCTCCCCCTCTTTTGGTTTTTGGCTTGATCCTCTATACAGTGACTTTGCAGTGGCTAGCTTTGGAATTCAGGCTGAATTAGAGAGACAAGCAAAACCAAAACTTGTGGGAAGATTAGACGGGTTATATCAATAGACCATATTATTGACATAATTGGAAAATCTGAACATTTTCAAAAGAAAAAGGAATTTTAGAGGTCCAAATATGAACACATGTAGTTTTTTGTCATGGTAGAACCAGATATGATTCTCTTTATGAGCTCCTGTGCTGATTGAGGTTCCAGGGACTATCCTACTTTCTTTTCCTTTATAAAATTATTGCAATCAATTTTAGTCTGTAGTGAACTAAGCTAAGGCTTCCCAATATACTTAATCTTTGCTGTCAAGAGAAGAAAAAAAGACACCTCAAAGATTCTATTTGAATTATTTTTAAACAAGTGAATGCAAAAGTAATACATAAATATGCATAAGTAAGGTTACTAAGTCTTTGGAATCTGTCCCTCTTTATAGTTTCTGATTTCTTGAAATCAAACTTCCTTCTTAGACACCAACCACATAATTTACTGCCTTTGAAAACCTAATGGAGGGCCAGCTCTGAGTCGGGTTCCAACTCAATGATACACAGCAGCACTGCTTTTGATGAGCAGGAAGTCTTTTATTCCTAACAGCATCTAACATGCAATTAGGGCAAAACGTTAAGAATGAATTATTGGACATTTATTAAAGCTATTGCTGCTTAAGAATCATTTGGGAAAATGTTTCTGTAGATTTGGAGTAGAAGGTCTAAAAAATTGTATTCTCATGAGTAAACTTTGCTAATTCTTAAATCTTAGATTATAAAGTCTAGGAAGAAGGTGTGTGTGTGTGTGCGCGCGTGTATGGCACACGAGTATGAGAGAGAGGGAGAAAAAGGGAGTGGGAGGTGAGGGAGGTATAAAGAGAAGGAATGAAGAAATGAACAGGAACTTTAGGAGAAGATGATGGTGGAAAATAAACAGTGAAGACCCCCTCCCCGCTACCCCATAAAAGAATAGCCAAGCGGGTAGATGAGAATAGTGCAATGCCATAGAATACCTTCTAGGAGAGGTTGGTTTATTGACTTCAAGAAGATGAGTACTGAGATAGTACTGGGAATCCAGAGGGTCATGGAGTGATTTGCCAACGCTTCTGTTTTCTTTAGCTGGATCTTTTTCTTTTATTCAATCTTAGAATGCGTCTCTTGCATGACACTGAACTCTTCTTAACCTTGTCAGCAGTCTCTGCTTATATGAATTCATGTAGTTAGTTCTGCGACTTTGACTACCATCCATACATGTTTAGTTCCTGATTTGTATCTTTTGTTCACCTCACTTCTGTGTTCCAGAATCACAAATCCAGCTGCTGACTTGGCTTCTTCACTAGGATGTTTGATAAGTGTTTCAGACTGAACGAGTAGTGAGGATACTACTTGCATAGTTGATGAAGACTTGCATTAGAGAGATAACCCAAAAAATAAAAGTAGATTAATTTGAAGGGATTTTGGGAAAAGGGAGGAAACAGAGATGACCTTTGGATCCCTACTTTTTGACTAGTTCATGGCAGTGGTGGCCAACATACTCAGTGGAAATATTCTGTGTGGGGAAAAGAAGATGACGAATCAAGAGTGTTGATATCCCTGCCTCAGTAATGATACCTCCACAGCTCTTGAATCCAAACAACTCTATGTCTCTACCTTTCTCCTCCAAGCCAAAACAATTGCAAAGACAAACCAAAATTAGTCTCTCTTTAAATGTACCTTCTTGTCTCCAGTCCATTCTTCAGGATGTAGCCATAGTGATCTCTTTAAATGAAATATGATCATGTGAATCTCCTGTTAAATCCTTCAGCATCTTTCAGTGCCTTTGTATAATTGCTCGAATAGTCTAAACTCATGACAATATGCTACTTGATCAGACTATTATATCCCCACTTCATTTTTTTTTTACTTTCTCTTTGCTCATGTTAGCCATTTTGATTTCTTACATTCTAAAATAAACCCAAACCCACACTCCCTTCAGAGGCTTTGCTTTGCTTTGCTTTGCTTCCTTACTGCCATTGAGTCAATTATGACTTATATGACTATCAGAAGAGTTGTTGTTGTCAAGTCAGAACTAATTCATAGTTGACACTCCAGTGGGTTTTCAGAGATAGTAAATCTTTCTGAAGGAGATTGCCCATCTGTCTCCTGTGGAGTAGGTGATGGATTTGAATCACATACCTTTGGATGGACAACACATTCCCTACTACTAAGCCAGTAGAGCTCCCTCCTAAGAAAAATTGTATTCCATTGAGTTATGACTCACTCATGGCTGAGCCTCCAGTGGGTTTTCAGAGGCAGTAAATCACGTGGGAAAAGATTGCCCATCCTCTCTTATGGAATAAGCTGATGGATTTGAAACATGTGCCTTTAGGATTGCAGTGCAGCTTATCACCACTATTCCACCAGAGCTCCATTTACCAACTCATAGCTGACCCTCAAGCAGATTTTCAGAGACAGTAAATTGCACAGGAGAAGATTGCCCATCTTTTTTCCTAAGAAGCAGCTGGTGGATTCTAGTCATGCCTTTGGGATTGTAGCACTCTGTGAGAAAAGTAGAACTTCCCATATGAATCGCACGGCTGTAAATAAAGGAGTAAACTGCCTCAACTTTCTCCTAAGAAGCAGCTGGTGAGTTTGAACCTTTTAGTTAGCAGCTGAATTCTTTAACCAGTCTACCATGAGGACTTCTTTGCCTTGCTTCCTACACAGTTTTTCTAAAACACTTCTCCTCTGCCTTTTTTGATTCTTTACCTGTGTAAGAGGTTGTTTCTTATTATCCTCTTCTGTCAAAGAACCCTTTTTTTTAAAAAAATTTTATTATTTTGTGTGCGTGTACTGTCAAATCAGATCTGACTGGTACAGGAGGATATTGCGCCTCCTTCTCCGGCAGAGCATCTGGTGGATTCGAACCGTGTTCCTCTGGGATTGCAGTGCAGCTTCTTGCCACTAGGCCACCAGAGTTCCCCCAAAGAACCCTTTTAAAAAAAAATAATTTAAATGCAAGTTTACAGAGACTTAGGGTTTCCCTGCCCACACCCTCTCCCCCAATTCACTCTTCTCCTTGAAAAGTAAAACTCTTTCACTGTTATGCAATCCCTCCCCGCCCAAGAACCTTTTTTGTTTCCTCCAGAGCACCTATCACAAACTTTAGTTGCTGTATTTTCTTTATTTGCATACTAATTATATCTATCCCTCACCAGAATATAAATTCTATGAAAGGAAGGTCATGCTGACTTATTTAATGATGTATCCTGATATTCTTCTTGTGTACCATTGAATTGGATCTGACTGGCACAGGAGGAGATTGCTCCACTTCTCCAGTAGAACATCTGGTGGATTCGAACTGCACACCCTAAGGATTTCATTGCAGC